TTTTTTTTTAACATCTTCACTTCCAACAAGGCTGCAAGCAACCACTATAAGAGTTGGAAGTTACTGGAAGAGAAAAGACTAAATCTGTAGAGCAAGATAACGATTGACTGATGACTTAAAAGATTGCAAATTATATGAATCAGGAAAGCAAGATGAAGGAAGCGAATTCCAAAGAACTGATGTTCGAGGAAAAAAACTAGAAGAATAAGAGTGTTTGAAGCACTTAGGAACAGTCACAGAAAAAGGATGAGACTTAATTGAATGGCGAGTAACACGAGAATGAATTTTAGTAGATGGCACAAGGGACGCTAGCTCTTTAGAGCAGTGCCTATTATAGTATTTGTAGAAAAGAGAAAGAGAAGCAACATTACGACGATGTGACAAAGGTTGGAGATTGGCTGCCAGAGCAGGTCCAACTATGTTTACAATTCGTTTTTGCACCTTGTCTAAAAGAGAAAGAGCATCATTAGAAGATCCGCCCCAGATGTGGCAACAGTATTCCATACAGGGACGGATTTGAGATTTATAGAGATAGAGAATAGAATCTGGAGTAAGAAAGTGTCGAGCTCGATAAAGAGATGCAACCTTAGCAGATGCTAATTTTGCAATGGATTTGATATACGGTTTAAAAGAAAGATCAGAAGTAAGAGTTAATCCTAGAAGATGAATGGTAGATGACTCATCTAGTACATTACCATTCATAAATATAGGAAGATCTAAATTATTACGATAACGATTGGCCGAATAAAATTGAGTTTTATCTGAATTAAAGTTCACCAGCCACTGTGAGCCCCATGCTGTAGCAGAAGTGAGATCCTTTTCAAGCTCAGATACCCCCTCCAAGCAATCAGAGAGTGTAGGCTTCTTATCATGACAAGAGTAAATGGTAGTGTCGTCGGCGAATAATGCCACCTTAGATGTGAGAATATCTGGAAGATTGTTAATGTAAAAGAGTATACGGCCGAGAATAGAACCTTGAGGAACCCCTAAAGTTACATGATATGAAGAGTGATGTCCATCAAAGACAACTTTTATACTACAGTTGGTAAGGAAGAATTCAATAATTTTAAAGATGTTAACTGATACACTGTAAGAAGAATGCTTATGGAGAAGACCAGCATGCCAAACTTTATCAAAAGCTTTAGAAATGTCAAGTGCGATAGCCTTAACCTCTCCACCTCTATCTAATGCACGGTAAAACCTATCGGTTATTACTGTTAGCACATCAGCTGTAGAACGAGAAGACCGAAATCCATATTGATGATCAGAAAGTAAGTTATTTGATTCAAGATGAGAGATTAAGTGTTTGTTGATTAAAGATTCAAAAACCTTGCTTATGACAGGAAGAAGACTAATGGGACGGTAGTTAGATGAATCAGATCGCTCTCCGGAATTTTTGAAAATAGGGATAACAGATGCTGCTTTCCAGCATGATGGAAAACAAGACTCTGATAAGCACCTGTTAAATAGTTTAGAGAGTATGGATGAAAGCTCAGGAGAACACCTCTGCAAGACTACAACAGGAATGTTGTCAGGACCACAAGCTGTTGAAGAGTCTAAGCAGGAAATTACTTTAGATACAGAAGCTGAAGTGATGCGAATGTCAAGCAAGGGATCAACCTGTTTGACGGCTATGTCAGGTAAAACGCAACTAGTGGAATCAAGAGATGATATTGATGAAAAGTTCTTAGCAAACAATTCAGCTTTGTCTTTAGGTGAGGTGACAAAGTCTGAACCATACAAGAGAGAAGGAATAGCAGATTTGCCCTTATCATTGATACTGTTAAAGATTTTTTGTGATGAGATACGAGATTTAATGACCTGGGAATAGCGAGCTTTGGCGTCAGACAAAACCTTTTTACAATGGTTTCTGGCGATAGTGAACAGATGTCTGTTTTCTGGAGAATTGTTTTGCTGATAGATATGGAAGTAACAGTTTCGATTAGAAATTGCTGCAGCGCAATGTGAGGAAAACCAAAGAGAAGAGTGAGGCTTGACCTGGAATCGTCGAGAGGGAATAAAAGATTCCATGCCAGCCTGAATCCACGAAGTTATGTAAGAAGCACATTTGTCAGCAGGAAGACGAAAGATTTCTACCCAAGGGCCATCACGAAGAAAATCACGGAAAGAGTCCCAGTCAGCTTTAAGGTAGTTGTATGTGGTACGATGATAGGGGGATTCTGATGAAGTAGAAGAATTTGATAATAGTTTTAAAGAGATCAAACCGTGATCAGAAGTACCTAAGGGTGAATGTGGAGAAATTGAGCACTGACTAGGATCCAAAACAAGACATAAGTCGAGTAGAGAAGGTAAATGATTAGGGTTGTCTGGAAAACGAGTTGGAAAGTTGACTATTTGAGTTAGAGATTGAGAAAGGCAAAAGTTGAGGGCCTTAACGCCAGCAGAGTCACTGACACTAGAGCCAAGCCAATCGGTGTGGTGGGCATTAAAGTCACCAACAACGACGATATTGGCCGATGGATAAAGAGAGAGGGCTTGGTCAATTTGATCAGAAATAACACCAAGAATAGTGCAATCTTGGGATGAAGGAGAGCGATATAGAACAAAGAGAAAGACGATAGAGTGAAGTTGTGCTAAACGAAAGCACATAAATGAATAGTCTGTAGATTCAAACCTAGTTTCACAACAAATGGGTGAGTTCTTACGAATGTAGATGCCCAGACCAAGCATGTGATTATTGGAGTCTTTACGAATTAAAGGAAGATAACCATCAACACTAAGATCACAAGATGGGACAGCTGAACTCAAATTAGTCTCACAAAGAGCAAGTAGGTCTGGTGAACTTTGCAAGAGATAAGACTCAACAGAAGAAAAGTTACTTCGAAGACCACGAATATTAGTAAATGATAGGTTTAGAGAACTTGGTGATGACAATGGTTTTTTGTGTTTTTTAGTTTTAGGTACTTTAGTCATTTTAAATTTATAAAGAACTTGACTCAAGTATAGATAGTACTCAGTACACTATTTAACAACTAAGCAATAGCCTCATTACTATTAATAAACCCTAAGCCGTAACAAAGGGCTCCAAATGTGGCCTCTGCAATGCACACCAAAAGTACAAACAGGGACACCATCCATGCGCAACATGGCACTGTTAGTACTCTGATATTTTTCAGCTGTTGATGGAATCAGCCTCTCTGAGAGCTACCACAGAGTTCGGGAAACCTGACTACCAGCCGGCCTCAGAACCATAAAACTGAGTTTTAGAGCTGTACCCTCATAAGGAGATAATAGAATGAGTTGCCCAGTCATAAAAATAGAGACACAAGCAATACCCACGCATTGAGTCAAGAAGATCCAGCGTTCAACATCCTAAACTGGAAACAATGTATTAAAAATACATCTGCGCCAGCCTAATAGATGAGGAAGGGGTGCGAGGCTGGTCAACAGATAGAATCTGTTTACCCCTTAAGTCTTTGCCTAGGAGGCCTTCTACAAGACAGCAGCTGGATGCATGTAACATCTGCCCAAGATGAGTATTTTTATCGAGACACCATCTCTAGCCTTTACTCAACCAAGAGCCCCAAGGCAGGGGGTGTTTTAATTCGGAGTTAACTTCTCCTAGCCTTTGCCTAAAAAAGCGTATCCTACAAGGCAGCAGGACATGGAGCAGGTTGTACTGGGTTACATGTTACCAGTAGCAGGAAAACCTGACCTGACCTGACCAGCAAAAAATTACTACAAAAAATTAGGTGTCTGCTACATAACCTTTTTTGATAAAATTTGGCATGTACGTAGAAAATAAGTTTTTAAATTTTTCTCAATAGTTTCAAAAATGTTTTCAACATTCTTTCAATATTAATTTGACGTGTGATCAACAACGAAGTTTTTAAGAAAAGTAAATTCAATAAAAGCGGTTGTAACTTCAAAAAAAAACTATCCAAAAAAGAATTTTAACTATTCCACTTTTCAAAAAAAGTCTATGCTGATATAAAATCCTAAAAAATAACACAACAAAATACATTCTTACAACTCAAACGCAAAGCACGCTTTGATAAAATAGTCGAAGATTGGATACGCACGTACCTACTATAAGATTTTTATTCTAGCATTTTATTTTATTTTATTTTACTAAAAATAAAATTCCTTGTAAACATTAAAAATCTATTCAAAACGTTCGTTAAAGTTTTTTAGTAATACGAGTGATTGTGCTTATCAGCTGCTTTATGAAAATAAATAAAAGTAAATAAATAAAAAAATATTATACAAAATTGCTGGTAAAAATATTAGCTATTGCACAGTTTTTAATTGTACAATATTAAAATTTCCAGTTTATTACTCACTGACTTTTTAAAAAGAAAAAATAATTTGTTTGAAAAACTTTAAATTACATATTTGAGAAGAAAAAAAATCAAATATTAGCATATTTTATCTTTTTTAAATGTTTAGTTATGTTTTTTATTCGTTTAGTATAGACAAAACGTGTCAAACGTCGAGAAAATAAACAAATGTTTTTACATTTTAAAAAAACAAAACATTCCAAAACATTTTAAAATAATAACATTTCTACATTAACGATTTAAAGTAGTTTTGCGGTAATTAAGTAAATTGGTGCAGTTAATGTCGATAAATATGAAAAGCAAATAAAAAGAATTTAATGAAATCAAAATTCACGTTGTGCTTATGCGTCGCACAGTATTTATTCATCACAAGGCCTGCATTACTACTTTCAATACTTTTACTTTTTAAATTCAAAAGTGTATACAAATAAACAAAGTTTAAAGACAAGCATTTCTAGTTAATACTTGTGGTCCTAAGTTAATACTTAATACTTGTGGTCTTAAATTAATACTTGTGGTCATTAGAAGTAGTTGTTAATCATATTTGATAAATTATAAAACAGAACTGATTAAAATATATTATTATTTTTACTTAATTTACAAATTACAAATAAAATGTGGTGTTCTTGTTTTGCCTACAATTATTTTTTAAATATTTTATTAGTCACAATTAATTTTTAGAAAACATGAAACACTTACAGACCAACTTATTTTGATGGCATTATTATCTTTTTCATCATGAGAACATTTTAGGGCAGGTGGAATTCTTGGAACTAAAAAAAGATTTTTTTTTTTAAACATCTGGATTTTCTATCCAAAAATAATAATTATTTAAACAAATAAACTGCATATTTATACTTACCTGCGCTATTTGTATTATGGTAAAGATAATCTGACCAAGTTGAAAATACATTGTTGTAGCCAATTGAATATCGTAATCGAAATCTGTACAGATAATTTTCTTCAAGAGTTGATAACTTAATATAGCAAGTTTGATATATGCTCACATTGTTTTCCTTTGTTAGAATAAAATTCAAGTTAAAGTCATACTTTATGAAACAACGTGAAACAAATAATTACTGAAATTTTACCTTCTCGCATCCATAGTACAGCCACTAAAATATTTTAAAATATTCATATTAAAACAGTCAGTTAAACATAAAAGAAACATATTACTACAACAAATAAAATATTTTAAAATATTTATATTAATACCTTTACAATAACATAAAAAAATATATTATTATAGCAACTAAAATATTTTAAAATATTTAGATTAATACAGCCACTAAAAATATATAACTTTAAACATAAAATAATTAATAAGAAACATAATAAAATATGCACATAATTGCATAATAAAATAAACATTAATCAATTTATAGATAAAAAAAATTTTCATCTATAAATTAATATAATGAATAAACTGATGATACAATAGTTATCTGCATAATAACAAACTTTAAAGATAGTAACATTTTTTAATTTATAGTTCCAATTAATAAATTTAAAATTCATATTAATTCAAATTCATATTTTGTCAGCTATAAAATAATTACTCTTTATATTTCCTGATCTTTTTTGTATATAATATATACAATATTTTCCAGACAATACATAATACTAATTCTTAATTTTAGCCTTCTAACCAAAAAAACTCATAGAAAAATTTGTCTAAAGTAACACTAAATATAATAATGATGAACCATTTAGCTTTTATAATGATTTTAAAGGTTTATTATTTATACTCTCAAAGAACTGCAAAAGAACTGATGGTCCTATTTTTTGTACTCTAAAAGAACTAAAAAAAAAAAAAAAAAAAAGAAGAACTAAAAAAAACTGATGGTCTTATTGTTGGTACTCTAGAAGAACTAGAAATAAAAATTGTACTTCAATATGTAATTAAGTGCAAAAAAACAAAAAAAAATACCTGAAATAATAATAATAACAAAACTACGATAAAAACTCACTAAATACCAAACTACATACCTCAGGATTAAAAGATTGAGAACAAATCCATTTCTGGTCATGTAAACATTGCTCAAGTTCAATTTGTTCTACTTTTTCAACTTTATAGCAATCTTCAGTTAATGTATCATAAGAAATATAAATTTCCTTTTTCCCGCGAACATCTTTTAAAATATTAGTGAACGGACCAAAAATCACTGTTTAAACAAATTTTGTTAAGCATAAAAAAAAAATTTGTTAAAAAAATAATTATCATACAGAAATAACAAAGTTAATAATTTATCTTTCCAACTGAATACAAATTATAGTAAATAAATACAAAATAATATGGTGCCTAGGGTCAATTTTTGTTCTGTGCCCCAAACTTTGGATTCCTGGGTTTATTTAATTAAGCATTCACTGTTTATTTTCTACATGTCTACCATCACATTATAATTTAATGAAAACAACAATTATTTTTGTATAAACTATTGCTGTGCATAAACACTCTATATTTGAATTTGGTTATATATGATTAAACAAAAATACAAATACAATTTAAAATGAATGGGATTACATATTTCATCAATAAAATGTTAATTATGAAGACTAGTCAGATCAAACTAATTTCGCTTTGCAGGTTTTCTTCTTTGCAAAACTAGAGATGACATTTTCATATGATAAAGTCTTGACCTTTTTTTAATTGAAATCACCGTAAGGTTAGTTAGGTGTTCTTCAATCATTATTGATAGCAATTTGGATTTGATGAGAGCAAGCTTACAGAAAGAGTGCTTGCCTTCAGCCACTGAAACCGGAATTGTATTAAAAATGCAAAGCTAAATGAAAAAAATATTGACTGAACACCTTTCTGGTATTCTGTTGAGCAACTTGAAAGAGCATGAAGAAAAAGTTTCTATTTGTCCAAAAGTAAGCAGAAGTTTTTTGTGTTTTATTGTAGTTTTATTATTATTATTTAGTATATTTTATATACTCCAATAGGGAATAGTGAAAACAACACCAATATACAGTTTCCAATGGAAACAGTTTCCAATGGGAAATCAGTAAAAAAATAACAGCAATATACTGCCCTATTTTCCTTATCAACAATTAAATGTTGCCAGTTAGGACATTGTATAAAAACATGTTATAAATTATCATTCTCACTTGTATTAAAGATGTATGATCACCTTCTGGCATATTTTTAACTTTGTCCTACTCAATAAAAAATTTATAATTTTCCAAGACAAAAATCAATTAGTTACTTGCCTTAATATCAGCATTTGAGCTTTATGTTTTGCCTTAATTTCTGGACTTTGGACTCAAAAAAAGCAGAAAAAAATGCTTGTTTTATCAATAATAATTTTATTAAAAAAAATTTTTAGTGAAAAAAACATTTGCAAAAATATACCTTAAAACCCCCCCCTTTTGATGAAGAAAGGGGTTTTTTGAGTTATATATTATATTATAACCCTCTCTCAAAGTATTGACTAGTATTGTTACAAATATTAAATAATTCGATTGTCGACTAAATCAACTATTACATTTTCTAAAGTCAAGTAAAATTGACTTATACAACGCCGCTCAGACAACTGGACAATATATTCCCAGACCCCAATGATTTAGGGACTGCCTTAATTACTTGCTATATATCAAGTCTTTATAATCATATTTACAATTTGTTTGTATAAATGACATTTAGATTTTAAAGCTTCATAACTTAGTTTTACCCTAGGATCCGAGCCAGCTTGAAGCGACCCACTATGAATGTATTTTTGAAAATCAAAAGTATCAAGTAAACAAAAAAAAAAAAAAAAAAATGAATGAAACAAATAACCCATAGTTTAATTTTTTTTGTAGTTATTAAAATGCTCCCAGAAGTCCTTTCGATCTTATTACAGAGCACCAGGAAGATCATAAAAAATGCTAACATGCTATGAATTAGATAAAACTTTAACAGAGTAAACAAAAAAATAGGTAATAGTTATAATTAGAAATGTCATATTTGCTAAAATAGCCATTCACTATGTACACTGCCACCAACAAATAATAAGAAAAATTTAGCAAGTTCTGTTAGGATTATGTTTTGCATTTGTTGAAAAACACTTATAAAGGCTTGGTGTCCAATTTAAGCAAACGGTTTCATGCAAAAACTAATATCATTTGCAATTGGAATTATTCTTTCTCACATCATTATATGAGTGCATTTTTTTGTAGAGATTAGTTTGATCATTTTCATTTACATTTCTATTTCTTAAAAGGTTGAACTGAATCATCACCAGCGATTGATCATCAGTGTCAAGCAGCCTTTCACTGAGAAGGATTAATCACATTATTTTATTGCAACCGTATAATTTACATTCCCATTAAAGTTAAACCATGTTTTAAGTTCAGGTTGGAGTGAAGATATATCTATATCAACCTCTGAAATTACCTCTGTAATCTTTTTGAGTGGTTTAAAGAGTGCGATATGTTTATACATAACAATATTTAAAAATTAAATTACTATCTGATAATATGAATACGCTAATTTAATATTATTATTAGTCGAGTTACGTCATTTTCTAGGCTTTTCTATTTTAAAGTAGTTTCTAGGCTTTTCTATACTTTTCTAAATCATAACTTAAAATCTCAGAAAATCACAAATTTGCGGGTAAAAATTTAAAAAAAGAAAATTTGAAACATTATTGCTTCCCCCCCCCCTGCTCTTCCTTTTCTATTGCTACTAATTTAATAGCATTAAAAAAGTACGAAACTTTAAGATAAATTATAATATATTAGCATTAAAAAAGTATGAAACTTTAAGATAAATTCTTAAAAACCCAACTTTTAAATTTTACTTTTTTAAACTTTTTATGCCAAGACCTGAACAACTTTTTCTTAATAGTTCTTTAAATAGTTTTTAGTTAAAAATCTCATTTTTAAATCAAAACTGTTTAAAGACTTTAGTTGTTTTTTTTAACTTTATTTTAATATTTAATATTTTAGTTAAATAATAATATAAATAAAACAGCATAATAAAACTAATAAACACTAAAATAATAACAAAAAAAAACTTAATTACCAGCTTCTTTACTTTTTATCAATAAACATAATAATATGTAAATTATAAGAAAAGCAAAATTACATTGTTGTTTTCTACAATAAGAAAATACATACTTGTGAAATCAACCTGCCAAAAAATGCTGTCTTTTTTTAAAACTGTACCATTTCCAGAGAGTTCATGGACAGATATATGAACCAATTCGCCATTGTTAAAATATAGATTACTAACATTACATACTCCATTAAACTTTGTGATCATTAAACAGTTTATTTTTGGAAAAGTATGATTGTATGAATTTGTTATAAGGATAACTACACTTGAATCATTTTGTTGAGTAGAGTTAAAATTTACATATAAACTTGGGCAAATAAATTTACTTTTATCGCCTCCATACAATGATGTTATCTTTACTAAAATAACAATAAATATTAAAATAAATTTCAAATAAATTTAAAATTTTAGAATAAATTATTTAAACTTTTTTAAATTGAAATAATTTATAGTTTTATGGTTACTTTTACACATTTGAATCTATGATGGTGACTTTTGTAAAATCTTAATATTTTTACATAATGAATTAGTTTGCAAATAGAAGAAATTAATTAAATCTTGAAAAAGTATTGCAAAACCATTTTACATTCCTTCAAAGATAAATTTTAATTTTCTAATTTTCAAAATTATATTTATTTTAAGTTTTTAATTAAAAAAAAAAATAATTTACTACCTGTTTTTTTTGGTCAAAAAATTAAACTTTTTCAAATTTTCAAAAGTTTATTTTTTAATTTAACAAATGCGGTTAACAATTTTACAATAATTAATTTAATCTAAATAAGTACTCTATATACAATATAAAAAAACAATTTAAATATTCAAAATGGATAAAAAAAATTTACATCTAGTTGAAATTGCCACTCTGTTTATAAAATCGAAGTGTTTAAGATATCAAAATTATGTATTTTAGATGTTTAAAACAAGACTTTCAACCATTTGGTAAAAAACACTTTTTAAATACAAAACTATTATTAAAAAAAATATAAAAGCAATCTTTTGGACCTAAAAACTTATAAAAGGGACCTAAAAACTTATAAAAGCAAAAAATTAAAAAAGCCTGATTGATAACTAGACTTTTTTAAACACATTCACTCAATGTTAACCACATTAATTTAAAATTGTTATGTTTAATGATTAAATGTATCAACTTTCACAAATAACATTTGTGAAGAAACTTCACAAATAAAATTTGTAAAGTGCAGGACAAAGTTTAGCCATCACCTAAATCTTTATGTATACCACATATACCTTGAATAATGAAGAACATTTATTATACTGTTTTAGCTACTTAACAACTTATCAATTTATTTTTAGGTTCGATGCTACAACACAAGAAGGTGCTCTTATTAACAGTATTCATTCTAAAGATAACCAATGTAATAAACAAAGTTAAAGTTTGTATAGGAAGTCATTTGCAATAGGAAATAACGAGTGAAGTTGTGAATAGCAAATGACTAATTGGCATGATACAATTCCTTGTGAATAATTATATATATATATATATATATATATATATATATATATATATATATATATATATATATATATATATATATATATATATATATATATATATATATAAGACATAATTGTAAATGTGTTGGGAATTTACTTGTATATACATTATGTTGAAAATTTAAAGAACAATAAATATGTATCCGGTTGAATATCAACCGGATACAGAGTAACTGAAAAAAATTAGGCTGGTTTATAAGCCGGTTGGTGATCTTATTGATGGTGCATTTGCAGTCTACCAACAGTTAGAGGAAACTGACAAAGAAGTTTTTGAGAGAATATGCTAAAAGTATTTACTGTTGAGGCATTTACAGCCTACGAGCAGTTAATCACAACAAGGCTAAGACATGGAGAGGCAGTGGATGGCAGAACTGCGTAGGCTATCCGTCATAATTAGGGGCTACCAGAAAAAGCTATTGCATGTGTCTTCGTTTCTGGATTTCTTGAAGGAGTTTAATTGATGCAGAGATCAGGTTCTCAAATTGTCAACAATTTTACAACTATACAAATTCTTAAACAAGCACAAGCACTCATGATCGAGGAATGTAACGAAAGAACAAATAAATTTTTCTGCTACTGCAGTTGAATCTATAAAAACTAAAAAAAAACATATTGACTCCAGGTTGCAAAAAAATCAAACAAAATCAGTATGCTATCAGTACAAACTTCATAATCATTTTCAAAAGATTGTTATCTACAAAGGAACAATAATTGAAATAAATCAAGTGGAAAATGTGACAAAAGTAAACTGATGTCCAAAAAATAGAATGTGTCCAAAAAACAATTTGTTTATTGTTTTTTGATGGATATGAATGAAATTTTTCTTGTTGTAGGATCAATATTTGCAACTCATGATATTTGTTTTATGGAAAAAAATGAATCATGTTTACTTGGACTAAAAAGTGATATTCTAAAAGATGTCAGTAATACGAACATAATGGCTTGGGATTTCAAAACTTCATTTGAGAAACAAAATGAGAATGGATAATTGAATGGAAATGAATCAACAATTTTTAATAACCCGATAATTCTCAACCTGAAAATCTAGTGTATAAGATTGCTGAATACACTATCTTGGTTGGTATAAAACATGATTATGAAAAAGAAATTGAAGGGTGGATAGAGAAAAAATAGCTGCAAAAGTATGACTCAAAGAAACACAGTCCAATAAGGCTTGGTTTCTCTCATGACAGTTGTGCAGCAATATTGATTTATCTTTAGCTTACATGTAACTTAAAATTGATGAGAAACTCTGGGGTTATCAAACTGTTGTGTTCTGGGGATTTTGATTAACAAATTTGGGATTCAGACTTAACATTGTGCCAGTCATAATGAAAACGGTGTTGGACAAAGTTCTATCTGGAAAGGAATGCCATCATACAATGTTGATATTTTTGTGAATGAAGACATAATAACAGTTTGTCTCGTACTTGGCCATTTGGAAATGTATGGGATACATTGTTAACCAGTGGTCCCTATGTCTAAAAGAGCAAGAGTTCTTGGGTTACAGGTCGGAATAGAAAATAAGTTGTGTTGGAGAAGAAATTATGATTTTTGTAAAATTACAAATACAAGTCATGACATATTTTCTTTGTGCTGAAAAATGACAGGGAATCTTCCGTTATATGGTTGGTTGCATGTAGTTTTTGTATATTAAAAGAACAGCAAACAACTTGACAAAAACATGGGATGGAAAAATAAAATGCAATTATCTTGAAAAAATGCTGAATGATATGGTTAAAAAAATGTGTAATGATGACCCTGCAAAGAGAACTTGAAGTGTTTCTAGTAACAAAGCAACAATTTGGTTGAATGCTAGTTTAATAGCAATAGGAATGAATGTTAAAATTAATGGAAACATAACGGAAGATAGTTGTTTGTTAAAGAAAAGATGACATAACATATATAAACATGTCCGAACTTGATTCAGTAATCAAATGACTAAGTATGGGCCTCAACTAGAAAACTGAAATTTTACATATCTGCACTGATTCAAAAATGGTATTTTATTGGGTTACCAATGAACTCACTGGAAAATCTAAATTGAGGACAAAAGCTTCAAACAAAATATTGATAAGAAGAAGACCATTGCAAATATAGTGACAGAATACTGACTCAGAATAGATATCAAGCTTGTTGTTAGAAGTGAAGTTGTGAATAGCAAATGACTAATTGGTGTGATGATTGCTTGTAAATAATTGTATATATATAAAAGACATAATTGTAAATATCTTGGAAATTTAGTTGTATTTAAATTATGTTGAATTTCACAAAGAAAGATAGACGTTTTATGAATAATTGGCAACCAATAATTTTTATGTAAACCTACTACCAATCTCACAATTAAAAAAATTTAACCACAATGTCTGACAGAGTTTCTGTTAATCATTTTACCATAAGTATGCGCAAACTGGAGGAAAAATTTTAATAAAAACAAATGGTCATTTTCACTCTCTCGGTATAACTGCCACAGTTGCTTTTCAGCGTTTCTCTAGAGAATGAGAATTGCAAATTGTTTAAAAATGACTAAAGGGCAACCTTGATTGTTTCTGCTTTAAACAAAAATATGATATAAAGACATAAAAGATGATCAACAATAATTTTATAGACACAAGCTTTCACAAGGTATCATTCCAAGGTATCATGAAAACCATATTAAAATTCTTTTGCATACTTGTTTTATTCTAATAAAGCATCAAAGTGACTTAATATCTTAAAAATGGAATCATAAAGTGCAAAATTTGAAAGCAACTCTTCAAGAAGCATTTTGTAGTACAACTGCAATCAAACAAATGTGTTGAAGAATTTGGAAAACTTCCTACTGGACCTTGGACTAAAATACTTAATGTAACATTAGAACATGCAAATTTTGATCCTGTTGTCTTGCAGACAGACAGATTTTTTTGGAAAATTGCTTGAGCCAAACATATTACAAACAGTAAAAAGTTTATGCTCAATTAATGAAGAGCTTTTTAAAACGTCTTCAGTTTGTTTTATTGCAGTGGAAAATATTTTAAATAGATAATATAAAAGATACTATGAGCAGCCATAGTACAGTGGTGAGTGTGCATGCCTCAGAGACTAGATATCCCTGGTTCATCACCACCTCTAGGCAAGTTTTATAAAATTGGTTAGAAAGGAGGCGTAAACTTTCTTTAAAATGCTCTTCTGCGGTGCTAAGACCATAAGGACTTCTTGGGGTATTCAAAGTAAATGCTAAAAAATAAATTAATATATATATATATATATATATATATATATATATACATATATATATACATATATATATATATATATATATATATATATATATATATATATATATATATATATATATATATATATATATATATATATATATATATTCTTTTTCACCTGTGATTGCAGAAACAATTAGAGAGGAGAAAGCAAGTGCAAGGCTTTACAAAATAGATTAGGCAGGCTTTGTCGGGAAGCAGGAGCAATCGCAATCGATTGATGACCACGGAAATAATATTTAGTTGCAAAAAACTTGCCAGATTTTTTAGTTGTTTTGAAAACATTTCAAAAAGCAAAAAAAAAAAATGCGCAAAAGATTAATTGGAACAAAGAGAGACAATCACAAAAAAAAAAAAAAAAAAAAAAAAATAGGAAAATAAAATATCTTTTAACGTGAAAAAACTTAAAGCAAAATAAATTACGTTTAGAACAAATATTTTCGAAACATCGCTCTTTTGTAATTTTTTGTAAAATTAAGCGACGTATTTTATATAAAGTAACATCTTACAATTGTTTAAAAAGGAAACAAATGTTCTTTATTTAACAAAAATTGTATTATAATTTTTATTTATATACTTGTGTCTTA